TTCAAGACTCTTCTCCAGTATCACAACTTGAAGACATCTATTCTTCTTGTCATTTCTTAGTCATTGTCCAGCTCTCTGAAGCATAACAAGTAATTGAGAAGACCATGGTCTGGATAGGCACACCTTTGTATCTAGACTGACATCGTTGCTTTTTAGCACTCTGGAAAGGTCCATGACAGCAGATTTCCAATGCAATTAACCCTTTGATTTCCTGACTGCTGGTATTAAGAGTGTTGATTGTGGAGACGAGCAAGTTGTAATTGCTAACAACTTCAATCTCTTCTCCATCTATCATGGTGCTGCCAATTGGCCCAGTGGTGAGAATCTTTGATGTTGTGCTTCAATCCATATTGAAGACTATAGTTCTTGACCTTCTTTAGCAAGAGCTTCATGTCTTCTTCAGTTTCAGCAAGCAAAGTTGTGGTATCTGCATATCGTAGATTGTTGATGAGTCCTCCTCCAAACTTGATGTCACATTCCTTCTCATAAAGCCCTGTTTCCCGAATGATCTCTTCTGCATACAGATTGAAAAGGTATGGGGACAAGATGCATCCCTGACACACTCCTTTCCTGATTTTGAACCATACTGTGTTTCCTTACTCTGTTCTGAGTACTGTTTCTTGGTCCATATACTTGGACCAAGTATAGGTTTCACATAAGTGCAATCAAGTGCTCTGGGATTCCCATTTTCCTCAAGGTTAGCCACAATTTATTGTGATCCACACAGTCAAATGCCTTTGCATAGTCAATGAAACACAGATATACATTCTTCTAATACTCTCTGCTTTCTGCCGGGATCCATCTGACATTGTCAATGTCTCTAGTGCTGCAACCTCTTCTAAACCCAGCTTGTATTTCTGATCGTTCTCACAGTGTACTGTTCCAGTCGTTTCTGGATAATCTTCAGCAGGATTTGGATAGTGTATGATATTAGTGATATTATAAAGCAGTTGTTGTTAGGTGCTGTCGAGTTGACTACTACTCATAGTGAGCCTATGAACAATAGGTATGAACTCTGTTCTATCCTGTACCATTCTTATCACCTCTGACATTTGAGCCCATTGCTGCAGTTACTGTTTCACCTGACTG